GCATTTTCTATACCAAGCTATGAAAGACTGACTGTTCCTATAGGTCTGGTGCTTCAAGTACAAGCTTGATCAGAATTTTTTTTTTTTTGAGTTGGAGTCTCACTCTGTCGCCCAGGCTAGAGTGCAGTGGCATGCTCTGGCCACCGCAGCCTCGACCTGCTGGGCTCCAGAGATCCTTCTGCCTCAGCCTTCCAAGTAGCCGGAACTACAGGCACATGCTACCACGCCCAGCTAATTTTTGATTTATTGTAGAGACGAGGTCTCACCAAGTTGCCCGGGTGGGTCTTGAACCTGCATGCTCAGGCAATCCACTCTTCTCGGCTTCCCAAAGTGCTGGGATTACAGGCTGAGCCACCGAGCCCGGTCAATCAGAATTTTTTAAAATAAATATATTGAACTGGGTGTAGTGGCTTGTGCCTGTAATCCCAGCAACTTGGGACACTAAGGTGGAAGGATTGCTTGAGTCCAAGAGTTTGAGATCAGCCTGGGCAACATGGTGAGACTTCATCTCTAAAAATCAAAAAAATTAGCCAGCTGTGGTGGCATGCCCCTGTAGTCCCAGCTACTCAAGAGGCTGAGGTGGAAGGATTGCCTGAGCCTGGGAGTCAAGACTGTGGTGAGCCATGGTTGTGCTACCACACTACAGCCTGGGCGACAGAATGAGACTCAGACTCAAAAGAAAATAAAATCCTAATACAGCAAGTGTATTGAAAATTTTTGAACCAGGCGCAGTGGCTCACACCTATAATCCCAGCACATTGGGAGGCAGAGGTGAAAGGATTACCTGAGTTCAGGGATTTAAGACCAGCCTGAGCAACATGGCAAGACCTCGTCTCTACAGTAAATCAAAGAACTCGGCCAGACATGGTGGCACATGCCTATGGTTCCAGCTACTAGGAAGGCTGAGGCGGAAGGGTCACCTGAGCTGAGCAAGTGTAGGCGGTGGTGGCCATGAGCGTGCCACTGCACTCCAGCCTGGGCAACAGAGTGAGACTCCAACTCAAAAAAAATTTTTTTTTAATAGCTATTTTCTTTTTTTTTCCTTCATCACAAAGGTAGCAAGGCTTTGTGATGTAATATTTAAATTACCAAAACAGGTTTTGGAGGCGCCCGGTCTTTGATTCAAACTCCAGCTCTACCTACTCATTGGCTATGGAAACTTACTGAACTTGCACTTTCCTTCCATCTTCAGACCCTTGCATGCAGTTCCCTCCTCCTATAAAAAACTCTTTCCTTTCACCTCCTCCTGTCCCGGTCTTTGCTCACATCTCTTTTCTTCCTTGGAGTGTTGGTTACAGAACTTCAGTTGCCCCACTATGTAAGTAGACATCTGTATTCTTTTCCTTTTTCTGAGGTGGAGTCTCACTCCGTCGCCCAGGTTGGAGTGCAGTGGCATGCTCACGGCTGCCGCTGCCTTGACCTGCTGAGCGCAGGTGATCCTTCCATCTCAGCCTTCCAAGTACCTGGAACCATAGGCGCACACCACCACACCTGGCTAATTTTTTTATTTATTGTAGAGATGAGGTCTTGCCATGTTGCTCAGGCTTGTCTCGAACTCCTGAGTTCAGGCAATTCTCTTGCTTCGGCCTCCCAAAGTGCTGAGATTACAGGTGTGAGCCACTGCACCCAGCCTAGCTTATTTTATTAGCAGTGAGGGCAGTGGCATGCTCACGGCCACCGCAGCCTTGACCTGCTGGGTGATCCTTCCGCCTCAGCCTTCCAAGTAGCTGGAACTACAGGCACGTGCCACCATGTCCGGCTAGGCTCCATATATTTTAAAGACATCTTCCTAACTTCCAAGCCTGATGCTCTGGCCCTTCTAGAGATTTCATTAGCTACCAAATGCCATTGTAATACATTTCTTTTCTGTTTATTATAAGCCCAAGTTAATGGTTGCTTCTTGCTACTAAGGACCCTATGCTCCTACTGTATCTGGTATCTCTCCTGATCACCACACTCGCTGTAATTTAATTGTCTACCCTCTGTTGCCACACTAGATCTTAAAGCCTAGATCTTCCTTAGTCATCATTGAATCGTCAGTGCCTGGCAAGCACCTGAGAAGAAACTGGTTCAGTGAATAAATGAAGCTCTCTGACCTCTCATTTCCTCATCTATACATTGGAAATGACTGTTCTAAAGAAAGAAAGATTGTGAACATTCTAACAGGAAAGAAACCTAGACATCTCCCATCCTAACCATCTTATTTTATGGACAAGGAACTGAGGTGCTGAAAGGGTAAATGATTTGCCTGTTTGGTGAATGAGTTGTTTTTGACTCCCAGGTCAGTACACTTTCTACATATCCCGATGCCCATTAAATTTTGTTATGTTACACAATGCTTGTGTCTCCCCTTCTCCAATTCATGTGTTGAGGCCTAACCCTCCCAGGTGATGGTATTAGGAGACAGGGCCAATAGGAGGTAATTAGGTTTAGAGAAGATCATGGTGCCCCTACAATGGGATTAGTGCCTGTATAAGAAAAAGAAGAGACAGCAACGCTTCCTCTCTCTCCTATGGGAAGACACAGCAAGAAGGAAGCCATCCGTAAGACAGAAAGCGGGCCCTTACCACGCTGGCACCCTGATCTCAGACTTGCGGCCTCCTGAACTGTGAGAAACACAAGTGTCTGCTTAAGCCACTCATAAAATATTTTATGACATTTTCATTTTGAACTTTGGCAAAGTGAAATATACATGCAATTATTGGTAGGCAGGGCAGAAGGCAGGTGCAGGCATTTTGAAGGATGTCACATGTAGGGTTCAAGTTGGCAACCAGCATGTATATTTTTGTTTGCTGGTGTGAGAGCCAGGGTGAAAATTACTTATGCTCAGAAGATAGTGTAGTACATGCATTATTCAGTTAGTCCTCTCAGCAACTCTATAAAGTAGAAATTATATTTTACAGATTATTAAAAAAAAAAAAAGAAAACTACCAGGCTCAGTAAAGGTAATTGAATTATTCTGGATACCGTCTACCATCAAATAAACTGCTCACTTCTAGTCCACCCATCTAAGTTATATCATTAATTTACACTCCCGTGACATTTTTCATAATCTAGACACAATCTACCTTCTTTTGCCTGTTTAAGTCTTGCTACCCTTGGTACCTCTCAGAGGGAGGAGTTCAATAATAACAGATTTAGATCTTCTAATTCTTTCAGATGCCTATCCCTTCTAACTTTTGTCACTTTGCCATAAATAAGCCTGGGAGAACCTACTGCATAAACGGTTTCTTGTCTGTACTAGTGAGTGTGGGAAATCAACCCTACCCTTGCCACCTGGTAGGTGGGTCCGGGAGTAATCAGTTTGAATTTCCTTAAGGAAGCTTTAAGGAACCGCAAACAGGCTTTTAACATTACTGACCCCAAGTTCCTATAGACCTTTTCGTTTATTTTCAGGGACCGCTTTTACTTTAAGTCATACATAGCTACTGAGTCAGAGACCAGCGCAGTGGCTCACACCTGTAATTACAGCACTTTGGGAAGCTGAGGGGAGAGGATTGCTTGAGCCTACGAGTTCGAGATCAGCCTGGGCAACAGAGCGAGACCTCATCTCTACACAAATCAAACAATTAGCCAGGCGTGGGTGGCACGCGCCTGTAGTCCCAGCTACTCTGGAGGTTGAGACGGAAGGATCGCCTGAGCCCAGGAGGTCAAGGCTGCGGTGAGCCGTGATCGTGCCACTGCACTCTACCTGGACGACTGAGTGAGACCGTGACTCCAAAAAACAAGCACCAAAAAGAAAAAAAAAAACAAAAAAAAAACCCCGGTTCACAGGGAGAACCCGTGTATGGATGTCCTCACTGTTGAACGTCCTCTTTGTCTTCAGAGGCAACGCAAGCTCCTGGGGCACTACATAGTGCAATTTCCCTCCTAACAAGTCTTTGGCAATAACTCCCCAAATCCTTGAATCCAAGGCGCACTTCCGGGCACCCTCCACCTCTCGTTTACCGCCACCCGCCACCGTTCCTACGGAACGAGAGGAACCGTTCCAGGTCACTGGGCTAGGCGCCAGCCCCTGGCCTCGACCCGGCGGGGCCAGGCCCTCTCCTCCCCCGGAGTCGGCCGGGAGACCGGG